CTCGGATCTCTCACTAAGCAAGTGAGGTCCTGCCTGGCCAGGACCAGTTTATCCACCACCGGCTCTTAGATGCACGGCTTGCAAAGCGAACGACCCTAGCACCCCCAGAACCCTCGCGGGAGGTCCCTGGTCACGTGGGATCTATCGTCCACATGTCCCTCCTTACGCATGCGCCCCCTCACTACAGGTTCGGAACAATGCTGTAAGCCCCGCCCACCCCCTCCGGGCCCACCCCCTGCTCCAGAGACCTGCATCCTAATTGGCGCGCTTCGGGGTTGGATGTTGGCCCACTTAGGCAGGTGCTGAATCCTCAAAGATAACATAATCCACACCTAGACTCTCCTCGGGGTTGTGGCCCGAGCCCAGTTTTGTTCTCTGGCTTCTAAAGAAATCCTCTGGGCCTGGATTCCCAGCTGTGGGCTAACCGGTCCCAGTCTCCGTGGCAGGTCCCGGCTCGTAGGCCTCCCTCCTGTCGGGGGAAAGGCGCAGGCGCCCCACGCTTTATCAGGAACTTCCTAGCGACCAGCCCCGGCTTAGCGCCGAGCGTCCTGCGGGGTGGGTGGGTTCAAGTGGGCGGTCTAAAGCCCTGATCAGGCACGGGCTCGTGGGGGCTGCAGCGGCTTTGTTCCTTCCCGAATGGCGCGCAGGGCTGAGCCCCCCGACGGGGGCTGGGGGTGGATGGTGGTGCTATCAGCGTTCATCCAGTCGGCGCTCGTGTTTGGGGTGCTCCGTTCCTTCGGTGTCTTCTTCGTGGAATTTGTGGCGGCGTTTGAGGAGCAGGCAGCCAGAGTCTCCTGGATCGCTTCCATAGGGATCGCGGTGCAGCAGTTCGGGAGTGAGTGCTGTGCCTGGGTGCCGTGGCCTTCCACCCTCGGAAAAAAAGAGAGAGGGGATCTGGGGACCAGAAAAGGGGAAGGCGAAGGGTCGGGAGGATGCCGAGGGAGGACGGCGGAGACCACCTCGCAGAACCCCTTCCAATTCCCCAGGCCCAATAGGCAGTGCCCTGAGCACGAAGCTGGGGCCCAGGCCTGTGGTGATGACTGGAGGCATCTTGGCCGCGCTGGGGATGCTGCTTGCTTCATTTGCTACCTCCTTGACCCACCTCTACCTGAGCATTGGGCTGCTGTCAGGTGAGACCCTGGGCAAGGGCAGAAGTCCAAGGCCTGGAACTTAAGCCTCTGGATTTTCACCTTCTTCCACCTCTTTGCAAAAAGGCTTAGGAAGAACCTGTGCCCTGCAGGGAATTCTTAAGCTGAATGACTAAACCAGAGATAATGAATCCTGAAAATACAAGCCCAAACCCATCGGACTGGAGTGGAGAAGGGAGAATGTCTTTAAGATTGTGCTAGATATTAACTGAAATAGACATCATTGGCCTATTTAAAAATAATAATAATAATAATAATAATAATAATAATAATAAGGCTTTCAATGCTTATCAATGTTTATACACCTGGGCAAAAGAAGATTAACATAGCCAGAAACCATAGAGATGGGGCTCTAATTACAAAGCTCTGTTTTAGTTACTTTAGGAACACCATCTCTTGTCTTCCCAGGTCCCATAAAGCAGCGATTCTCAACCTGTCAGTTGTACCCCCTTAGGAACTGAACGACCCTTTCTCAGGGGTCGCATTCAGATATCGTGCATATCAGATATTTACATTACCATTCATAACAGTAGCAAAATTGCAGTTATAAAGTAACAACGAAAATAATTTTATGATGTGGGGGGAGGGGGGTCACCACAACATGAGCTGTGTTAAAGGGTCGCAGCATCAGGAAGGCTGTGAACCAACGCCATAAAGTGTGTTAACCCCATTTTGTGGATGAGATAATTGAGCCTGGGAGGGTAAGCAGAACACTCAAGGTCACAGAGCTAGAACGTGTCGAAGCCAGCACTAAGATAACCCAGAGCTGTGGGAGTCCAGAGCAGGCGCTGGTCTTCTGCTAGGTAGAACTGGGATTACTGGGAGTTCTGAGCACCTCCAGAGTCCACAGCCTCTCCCCTGATTTCCTTTTTGACAGGCTCTGGCTGGGCCCTGACCTTCACTCCGACCCTGGCCTGCCTCTCCCGGTACTTCTCTCGACGCCGATCTCTGGCCATGGGGCTGGCCCTGACTGGAGTGGGCCTCTCCTCTTTTGCGTTTGCTCCCCTCTTCCAGTGGCTGATCAGCCGCTATGCCTGGCGGGGAGCCCTCTTGCTGGTGTCTGCCCTCTCCCTACACCTGATGGCCTGTGGTGCTCTCCTCCGCCCACTCTCCCTGACTGAAGACACTTCTGTGGGTGGCCCTGGGTCCCAGCTCACCTCCCTCCTCCGTGACGGCCCCTTCGTCCGGTACACTCTTGCCCTTACTCTGATTAACACTGGCTACTTCATCCCCTACGTCCATTTGGTGGCCCATCTACAGGACCTGGGTTGGGACCCACTACCTGCTGCCTTCCTGCTATCAGTGGCCGCCATTTCTGACCTCGTGGGCCGGGTGGCATCTGGTTGGCTGGGAGATGCCGTCCCGGGGCCCGTGGCACGGCTGCTGATGCTTTGGACCACCCTGACTGGGGTGTCACTAGTCCTCTTCCCCGTGGCTCAGTCTCCCACAACCCTGGTGGTTCTGGCTGTGACCTATGGCTTCACATCAGGGGCCCTGACCCCAGTGGCCTTCTCCGTGATTCCTGAACTGGTGGGGACTGGAAGGATTTACTGTGGCCTGGGACTGGTGCAGATGATCGAGAGCATCGGAGGGCTGTTGGGAGCTCCTCTATCAGGTAAGGGAAATGGGGTCGCCAACTGGGCCAGCGATGTCATGTTGTGTAATTGGAGGAACTACTCTCACGATTGGTCTATGTGAATGTTGCCCTCTGGTGTGTTACAGTACACAGCCTGTGTAGCCAGTCATAACAGTCCTGAGGTAGGGTCACAGAAGGACAGAACTTGGGTCTGAGGAGGTCTGGGTGGGAAGAGGAGCCCAGTGAAACTGCAGCCTGGGTTTTTAGAAGACCTAGCTTGACCTAAGATCGTCTTCTTTTCCTTTGGCCCACTGGGCCCCTGCCCAAATGTCTGAAACATCTGGTTAAAGTTCTCCATGTTCAAGATGCCAGAACCTCCTGATCTTTAAACACCTTCCTCTTAACTATTAACCGAAGGCTCAGAAGGGCCACTGTTGCCAGAACAAAACACACAGATACGCTTGACTTAGTATGGCTCACCAGATACCCACAGGCTGGTTTGCAGGTCTTCCCTCTCTCCAGGGAGGGCGGTGGCTGAAATGACATTTGAGGCTATTTAAGAGACTAGAGGCTCATATTCATTCAGTCCTACCTTGGGAATCCCATCTCTTCTAAGATAATGGGCCTTTCTTTGCCCCCACACGGATCTAGGCCATTAGCCCCAGTGTGCAGATCACCCATGTGTATTTGTTTTTCTCTCTCGGACCCAGGCTACCTCCGGGATGTGACAGGCAACTACATGGTTTCCTTCATGGTGGCCGGGGCCTTCCTTCTGGCAGGAAGTGGAGTTCTTACCACCTTGCCCCATTTCTTCTCCTGCATCTCATCTTCTACCTCCAGACCCCAGGACCTTGGAATAGAGGCACTGGATACCAAAATTCCCCTGCCCAAGGAGGAAGGGTTGGGAGAGGACTGAACTCCACCAGGAGACGGTGGCCATGGAGAGCCAGAGCTTGGCGGGTCTTCTGCCCCATCAAGGCATCCACAGAAGCACAGTGCCTTAGGATTCTTGATCTGCCTCCACCAGAGCAGACCTGGGGTTCCTGCAATTTATGTGCCAACCCTTTGTATTTTGTGGACGACTCTCATATCACCTCCTTTGTTCTCCCAAGATTTTTCTGAAGGATCCAGGAGATCTCTCAACCCACTGAGCTCTGAATCAAATCTGAAAATCAAAGGTCGAGAGCCTTCTCATGTTCATGTGATTTCTGGTATCCCTCGGATATAAAACAAATAAGGAAACTGGACAACAATTGTAACCTCACAAAGAGCCGGAGGCCCAGGTGCTTGGGACTGCTAATGGGGTCATGGCGGAGCAGAGGGGTGGAGGCGCCCATGAGCTCTGGTGACCCAGAGTTCTTCTCTCCATCCACTTACCTCCCTCTTCTCCACTATCCCTGTGATACAGAAGGAAGAAAATGGAGAGAAACGTCTATGTGTGGAGAAGGGTGGCTTGGGGCGCCAGCTGCAACCTAAGATCTTTGTACTTTTAAGATAAGAGCCTCACCGTGTGGCCCAGGCTGTTCTTGAACTTGAGACCTGGCCTCCTCCCAAGTGCTGAGATTACAGGTGCTCACAATCACACCCAGATGGATTTTTGTTTCTCTTAGGCTAACAAAGGCAGATCAGAATGCAAGGAGAAGTATGAAGCCTGGGAGCTGGAGAGAAAACTCAGCAGTTAAAAGCACTTCCTGCTCTTCCAGAGGGCCAGAGACACCCACACATGGTGGTTCACAACCACCTATTAATCCAGATCCTGGGGATCCGATGTCCTCTTCTGGCTTCCGTAGACACCCACACACATGTGGCATACATTCACACACACACACACACACACACACACACACACACACACACACACACAGAGCATAAATAAAAATCAATCTTTTTTAAAGCAGGCCTGCAGAGAGAGCTCGGCAGAGGGCTTGCTGCACCTCCTGGTGACCTGTTTGGCTCAGGGCATCCACCCCAGGCAGCTCACAACTGCCTGTAAGTCCAGCTCCAAGAGATCTGGCCTCCACAAACCCACACAAAAAAATATTTAAAGTATGAGGTTTAGATATGCTCCCTAACAAATTGAAACTGACTAGCTCACAACTTCTCAAAGGCCCACTTAAGGTAAGGATTTGAGCCAAGGAAAACTGACTAGACAGGCATCCTTCCTCGCCGCTGCCAGGGCCCCTGGGGTCCTGTTGCTTTCAGCTAGATTTTTATTTATTTATTCATTCATTCATGCATGCATGCATGCATTCATTCACTTATTTTTCTCAAGAGAGTCAGATAAAAATCCTTTATTAGGGAAGGGGCTCAAACACGGAAATAATCAACAAGTGGTATCCCGGGTGGAGTCAGCGCCCCCTGCCGAGCGCAGGGGGACCTGCGCAACTGGGAGCAGTTCCCCTCTCTCAGGGGGAGGGGTAGCTGGAGGTGAGACTGGACGGCAAGTTGGGAGAGCCCTGGGCAGCCCCATGTAGATGAAGCTGCCAGAGAGGATGAAAGAGCTGCACACCACGAAAGAGGCACTGAAGTCTCCTGTCTTATCCCTTAGGAAACCTGGGGAAAGGGGGAAAGGAATTTAGAGGCCTGGCACCCCAGGGGCGGAAGTCCGGAGCGAGAATCGGCAGGCTCAGCCCTTACCTGACAGGGGAGGGCCCAGGAGTCCCCCGAGGCTCATCAGCATCATCACCAGCCCTGTAGCCTGCACCACACCGCCAATGCCCACCAGCCCCGGGAGCACGCCGAAAACCAGCGGGGCGTAACTCCCGGCGCTCAGGCCGTAGGCCCCAGCCGCGGCTAGCAGGGGCACCCCCCATCCGTCCTCCGTCCCCTCAGTGGGCACTAGCCCCACGGCCAGCACCCCTAACCCAGTCAGAGACCCAAACACAACCAGAAGCCGCGGAAGGGGCACCCAGCCCTGGTCTGCTAGCCATCCGCTGACCAGTCGGGCACTTGCATCTCCCACGGCAGCGACAGCCACCACCAACGCTGCCCCGTAGCCCCCCATGCCCTGGTCTAAAGCGTGCGGACCCAAGTGCACGTAGGGGACGAAGTATCCGCCCCCGATCAAGGCGGTGCCCAAAGCAAAGATGGAAAAGGCTCGGCGCCTGAAGAGACCCAGGCCGAGGGCAGCTAGCGGGGTGCGAGGTGGGGCCAGGGGGTCACCGGAGAGAGCTAAGGGTCGGAGCAAGGCGCCACAGGGCGTGAGGTGGAGGGTGACAGCGCCAAGGAGGAGCAAGGCACCCCGCCAGCCGAAAGTATCAAGGAGGAACTGCAAGGCAGGTGCCAGGAGCAGCGAGGATGCCCCATTACCGGTGAGCGCCAACCCTACCGCCAAGACCCGGCGGCGGGAGAAGTACCGAGAGAGGGTACCCAGGGCAGGGGCGAACACCAGGGCCCAGCCGGAGCCTGCAAACGGATAGGACAGAGTGAGGGTGCGAGGATGGTTTTTCTAACATTTCTTGGCCCTGCTTCTAATGCGCGCGTGCGGACACACACACACACACACACACACACACACACACACACACACCGCCTTGTTCCGTGTCCTACCCCACAAGAAGCTCCCCATGATCACCCCTGAAGCACAAGAGCATCCCACTCTTCTTACCAGCGAGGAGGCCCAGGCCGAGGTAGAGGTGCAGGAGGCTTCGGGCGAAAGCCGAGAAGACCAAGCCAAGCGAGGTTAGGACGCCCCCAACCATCACCACGGGCCGTGCCCCCCAGCGAGTGCTCAGGGCGCTGCCCACTGGGCCTAGAAGGGGGCGGAGTCAACGAAGACATGCCCCGGGACCCCCAAACTATCTCCAACACTTCTCATTGGCTGTTTTTGCCTGGCCTGGTAACTCCTCCCTTTGACCTCAAGACCCACTCTTCTAGAACTCGGTTCCACCAGTAGCTCTCAGGTTGTCTGGTAATCAAGTCTGCTGTCTCCCATCACTACATTCACGGCCTCTCCACCCGGTTCCCGCCTCCCACCTCGGGGGGCCCCCCCTCACTGGCTGCCTGCTGCACGGCCAAGGCCAGGGCGCTGACCCACGCAGTGTCCTGGGCGCTTCGTTCAAAGTGCTCCGCGAGGTCGGGGAGGGCAAGGCCCAGGGAGCGTAAGAGCCCGTAGGAGAGCCCGTTCACGGCGAAGGCTGCGGCCGCCACCACCCAGCCCCAGCCCCCGTCCGGGGGTCCGGCCGGCTTGGGGGTCATCGCCGTCTGCTGGGGTGGGGAAACACCTGTGAATGAAGTCTCCACGCCTGGGCCTCCGCCAGGGAGCTGACGTCCCTGAGATCCAGCCTCGGGCTGCTCGCCCAGGGTGGGCACGTCGCCCCGAGCATGGGCGCGGGAACCAGGCCTAGGGATAGAAGTCCTGGGTGCGCGTGACGTCCTGGAATGGGGGGGGGGGAGCAGCAGGATCCCCCAGGTCAGGGGCTCCTCCTTCCCAAACCCGCTTTCTCTTACCCGACCTCTCCCGGCGGTGGGGGTAGGGAAAGGGCGAAGATGGGTTCGGCCGGATTTTCTCTGCGCCTTCCAGGCCGGCAGGGTTCTGCCGAGCAGCCAACCAGGGCAGAGATGGAGCCCAACTTGGACCCGCTCTCCCGGTAAACAGAGATCACCACAGGGGCCCGAGCCACCTGGGACGCGGGGTGGGGGTGGGGGTGTGAGTTGCGAGGGCGGGGGCAAGCGAGACAGCCAATCCACCAAGCCTGGGCCCAGGCCTGACGCCGAGTCCCACGGGGATTGAATTATCCACACACAACCCCCAGTCCTGGATAGGGAACCGCGGGGAATGAGTGTGCCTGGTGGCCGCGCCCCGCCCCTCCCCGCGCCGCTCGGCGCCGCGGGGCTCACGCCCACGCACCTGCAGCCGGCTGCGCACGCAAAGACGAGCCGGGTTGCAATCCCTGCTCGGCCGGCTGCCCACGCGTGAAAATAGCGGTGGTCTCCAAAGCCTAAAAGAGTTCTTCGATTCTCGCATTTGTTGCTGAGGATCCTGTAAACCTCCGACATCAAATCACTGGCAAGCCCTCACGGGGAAGATGACTTCCCAGTACCAAGACATGTGATGTTCCAGGCTGTCTTCACACACACACACACACACACACACACACACACACACACACACACACTTTGTCATTTCGTCTTCACACTACCCCTATGACGAAGGCGCTATCCCCATTTTAGAAATGGAGTAAATGATGCTTAAAGAGATTAGGTGACCTACCCCCAAATCGTTCAGCTTCAAAAAAGAAAGTGGAAATATTTGAATTTAGGTTTAGCCTACTGTGGGAAGATACAGGCTGAACAGACCTGGGAGTGAAAACAGAGCCGGCCACAGGCGAGCGAAATAGCTTGGAGACAGATTGGTGTGGACTGCCCTGGAACGGGCAGCATCTATGCAGAGCCACAGTACGTGGGGTTCCAAACCAAGGGTGGCTGGGGATAGATGACATCTTTGCCACCAGAATCGCTAAAGGCTTAGGCTAGATTTTTTTAAAAGCAAAGTAAGAGTTCAGAGAAAAGAACCAGATATTTTTGTCTGTTTTTGTTGCTGTTGTTGTTGTTCGTTTGAAGATTCTAGTGAGCATCCCTCTTTAAAGGTCGCTATTGCTTTACTTCGGCGGTTTGACTCAATAGGTGTGTTCTTTGGTTTAATCATTAAACAATGGCATTGAAATTTCAGCAGTTCGCAGGTTGGAGCATGTATCAACCCATAGCCACAGGATGGCAGTGTTTCCTTATTGATGAGGAAGCATTTGGCTAGAAAAAAAGAAGAAAAACAGTTCAAAAGTTGTGAAACTGAAGAACGCAGACAGACTTTCAGCGGCAGACCACGGTGGGTAAGGCCCCACAATCATCAAAGGCAAGCCAGACTACCTTTCCAGCCCACCCTCCCGCCCTGGGGAATTAGCTTCTGCCCCACTCCAGTCCGTCTGTTCTTTTGTCAATTCTAGGTTTTGGGTCACTTTTCTCTGCTGCAATGTCCTATTACAGGAGACCTTGAAGGCTTAAGGCCCTGCTACATACGCTTTAGGAAAGTGGCCTCACTGGTTTCACCAGCCAGGGGTTGTCTTTGTAAAAGCCACCGGGGTGGTGGAGCCTGCAGGTACTCAGTCACCAGGGAGGCAGGGAACTGGTTTCCCCAGAAGGCTGGTAAGGACTCTGCTGTAAGTTGAACCAGGTCAACCGAAAGAAATCGCTCTCTCCATGGTGAAGTAGAAATACAGCCAGGGAGGAGACTGAGGCCTCTGGGTCTGGGTTGTACCAAGTAACGCTGTGCACCTTGGCCGTGTGCAAACCCCGGAAGCCTCGGGTGACCGGTTGTGAAAGGGCACATTCCTCTTCTACCTTACGTTCTTAGCCAGAATTGGTGTGTGTTGTTCTTGGAGGTAACATAGCATTAGAGAAATGGACCCCCAACGAGACTTACGGAGCCCGACTTTCAGCTCCGTCGCTTATCTGACTGCAAACAAGTGTCTGCTTCCTCATTTTTAAAAATGGTTATAATAATAGTTACCTGATAGGGTTGTTATAAGGATTAAATTTGACATGGTGTGTGCATGTGCAAGTAAGAGCCTGAGAACAGTGTCTGAATACGACCTGTGCGAGCTCCATGGTCACCGCTGTAACTCAGGGCAACTTGACGAGACTCTACAGCATTGTTTCCCTTGGCCAGGTGGCTACTTCCGACTCAAAACAGAGCTAGCAAATTCAAGGTCGGTGAACCACATCAATCCGGTGAGTTTTAGCAGAATCACGTGGGTTATAATAAAGTATGAATATTTATAAGAAATTTAAACGGAAATTGTGACACCTTTCCTTTTTGCAGGGGAGGCAGGGGCGCATGAAGCCCAGGCTCATCCCAAGTTCACTGTGTAGCCAAGGATGACTTTGAACGTCTGCTACGTGCTGGGACCGCAGGTAATCCCTTTGAATGAATATATAATCCCACATCTGGCCGTTTCTCCTTTCAAGCAGAATGTATGGCGTGTGCATTGTCAGAAGTTCTGACCACTGTAAGGAGTCCCTTCTTGCGCCTTTTAAGGTTCCCTAGTCCCAGACAGAGACTGGATTGCTGCAGCGGTTCAGTGTCTGCACAGCGTGCAGAACATTTGTAAAACAGGACCTAGTCTTCTCTTCCTTAGTCATCACACCATGAGGCACACCCTATGAAGCTGTAGGTGTGTGCTTGGGGACAGAAAGCATGGTAAAAGGGGCAGAAATCAGAGGCATTTGGGCAGCTTCTTCATATAACTTGCTTTTCTCGGGCCCAGTTACATACATACCACTTCCATTTGACAACGGATTGCAGCTGTGTATGTACAGCTTTGTGACTTGGCGGGTCAGATAACACCCAGCTCATAATGGGCAGCTCACGTCACATGGTAACTTGGCAGTCCATCATCAAACGTTTAGTTTCTAGGGCTGGAGAGATGGCTTAGAAATTAAGAGCACTGGCTGCTCTTCCAGAGGACATAGGTTCAATTCCCAAAAAACACATAGCAGCTCACCACTGTCTGTAATGGCAACTCCAGGAGTTCTGACACCTTCACACAGACACACATGCAGGCCACACCAATGCACATAAAATAGAAAATAAAATCAATATTTTTTTTAAAAGTTCAGTTTCCACTAAGGCCTAGTGTCTAACTACTAACTTTCATTTCTTTATATCCTAATAGTTGGTAATAATAACATTCAAGGATCAGAAAATTGCATTACATTGTTAAATGAATGGTATAAATACAATTAGAAATATATATATAGCATTTTCTAACAATATCA